ATTTCCACCACTTTTACTGCAGAAGCTCCAAATACTGTGAGGATGTTAATTCACCCATCGTCACCATGTCTATTTTAACCCTCATTCATAACTGCACGAAGAGATATTCTGCATCATTAGTCATTAGGGACATGCAATTCAAAACCACAATGAAAGACTGTTTCCAGGACGGTTATGACAATCAAAGTATGTGGCAATAATGTGGAGAATTTGGGACAATCATACATTGCTAGTGAGGGTATAAAACAGTGTAGCCACTTTGGAAAACTATCTCTGTATCATAGGACTGAGGGGATGTCCAGAAGTGAAGAGTTAAGGCTGACCAACAGCATAATTCAATCCCACACATACAATTGCCCTTCTGCCTTGGTAAGTCCCTTACCACATGCAAAGCTCTGAAAGCCACAGCTCACATTCAGTTCCATCAAGGCTCACCAGGCAGACTGCCTGGTGTAGGCTGACTGCATCACTCCCCACCCTCCATTTAGGACTGTGTTTCTAGCATCAACAGTTTTCGACTTCTCAATATTGTTATACTGTTTCTTCTGACTCTAAAGAGCAAAAGGGAATGATATATGTACATAGGTATTGTTTTTATTTTATTATTTATTTTTAGATTTTTTGCTGTTGAGTACATACTCTTGCTGGAGAAAGACAGGGCAATTGAGAACTCACCCTCTGAGGGGGATGGCCATGCTGCAACCCTTTGTCCTCTATTCTCCTCTTAAGATTTTTTTGCATGCATGTACACACACCTGGAGTATTTGTTTTGTTTTGTTTTTTTGTTTTGTTTTGTTTTTCAAGCTGCTGGATCTGAAACTAGAATGGTAGAGTTGACCATGTGGGATCTAGTGCCTTAACTACCATGCCACCTGCTGGCATATATATTTGTAAAGTGTACTTATTTATTTCCTGAGGGGGAGTGCAGGGAAAGCACACTCGACTGATTCATAGGACAGTCCTCTCAGGAGACCTGTAGTGGACCAAGATCACTGGTGCTCCCAGTGCACTGAGGTAGACATAGGACATGAACCTGGAACCTTTCAACGTGATCTCCAGCATTCCCCCTACTGTCTGCAGCACTGCACCTGGGCCTCTGTCTTTAGGAACTTACTTCAAGGACCTATATGAGGCATAGAGAAATCTAGGATCCCATAAGTCTAACCACACTTGCATCTCTGTCAGCCTAGAGCATCTCTTCATTAGTAAAAAACAAAACGAAAACCAAAAACCCAAACTGGCAAATATTAAAGATGTAAAGTAAGAAATAATATTTAGTATCACTGGTAGCTTTTGGACAAGTGTTTTGACTTAAAAAAAATTTTTTTTAATTGCCATAGTATATGGGCACTCACCAGAGACAGAGAAATCAGGAGAGGGAGAAAGCAGCCCCCACAGGGGGGTGCGGTCATGCCACAATCCCTTTTCCTTCACCTCCCCATCCTGTCAGGATTTGAGGCACACATGCACCTAGTGTGCTTTTCAAGCCCCTGGGGCAAAGACTTGAACCCCAGTTGGCCATATGGGACTTGGCCCTGGCTCCCTTAACCACTAGTCTAGGGGGATGGCCCTGTCTTTTATTTTTATTTCCTCCAGCTCAACCTTTTCATACCTCTTCATTTTCTGGAGAGCCAGACTTAACAATAGGTGACTCACCTTGTCTTTAACTTTGAGATAACGCTTGACAGTTTTTTATTTTATTTTTTTTAAAAAAAGAGTGTCTAGTAGACCTGCTTTAAAATGTGATAGCCGAATGCTGGCCTAACCATGCCACAGCCCAACCACGATTTACTCAGTTTGTCTGGAGAAAGAGAATACATATTTAGTATAAAGAGAAGATATAAGCAATGGAACAGTTGGTTATACATTATAGATTGTAATAAATGAAAATATCGAGTGCATTTTAAATGATTAATGTATGAAAACTGTCATCACTCACTGTGCATTAATCAAGACAAAATGCACGCTTTCCTTAGTGGTTAATGTCGCAGGCCATCGTCAGCTTTGATAATGTGCATAGTAATGCTCAGTATGACAATGAGTTGGGGGAGCTGAAAATTTAGGATGGTGGCAAGTTTGGTGTAGTATTTGGATTAGCATCTTAATCTGTGCCTTGTCAGCCTCATCAGTACACAAGCTATGTATTTTTTTTCCAAAACTAGCAAAATATGGATGCATTTAAAATTTTGTTTAACTTTTTTTTATAAAATCAAGAAGAATGACCAAGGTACCTGCTTAAACAAATACTACCAGCATTCATTAGTTAGGATGGTTACATGTAAAAGAAATGATGCCAGATAGTAACAAATCCAAGAGAAGTTTATTATGAAAATGGCACCTGCGGATGAAAAAATTAAGTTACATAAAGACAACCATGTATGTGACATGTATGAGAATCTACAAAAGTATAAAAAGAACCCTGTTGTAAATGAAGTATGTACATTTCTGATTTGCAGCATTATCAATGGTCAATGAAAAAAAATGTTTCAAAATAAGCCAGGCACTCAGGAAGTTAGGTCCGGTTAGCTTCACACAAAACAAATGTACCATAGCTGTCGCTTTGTAACGTTTTAATTATTTTTTTTTTTATATATATATCGTAGAGTTGGTAACACTGCTAAGGTTTTTACGAACAGAATATCCCTTTCCCCATTATTCAGCTACTTGGCACCAGTCTCCTCATAAAAGTTTTCATATATTTGTACAAGAAATAGTTAAAAACACAGACACAGTCTTCACAGGTAATGAAGTGTTTTTTTTTTTTTCATTTTGTAATTATTAACACTATGGATTTAGACAGCAGCTGTGATTATCTGTTAGTTTAAATCACCAGAAATCATTTTGACACAACACAGAAACATTTATAAAAGAAAAAAAAAAACAGCTGTCTAGCTGTTCTTTGTAGCTGATAGGTGCATTCCTTTGATTGTTCGATAGCTAGAGTAGAGCTTCCAAAATTAATCTTTAAATTTCTTGATCGACCTTCTTCACCTTCTAAACCTACTTAAATCCTTTGAGTAGGCTCACGATTAAAACTTCTGGCGTTTAACTTCTTTTTGTCACGACTCCACCATGCTTTGGGCCCAACTCACAGAATCAAAGGTCCTAGAGGAATCTACTCAACACAGTGATATTCAAAGGACAGCCGAGTTACTATATTAGCATTGCACGAATAAACAAATATATATGACAGTTCTATATTCCATTACCCCCTCCCACTTTGTTTTTCAAAAATGTTGGTTGACCTTTGAAATAATTTTCTGTCTCACTGGTAATTGCTTTATATATATTGCTCCATCAGCCAACCTGAAAGGAAACCAAAGAAAAGCACCCACTGCTTATAGGTAGAGCACAAGGGACTCTGGGAATGTTAACAACTGAGGCTATATGGCATCGATTTATTTAATATATCTGAGCATTATTCTTCAGTGCTTCATGTTGCACTCCAGAAGAGAGAGTCATACCCAGAATTCCATTGTGGAAAAAATGGCTCCATTAACCTTGAGCTAGTTAAGAGTCTTTTTATCTCTGAGAATGAAAAAGATTTTGGAGCTGGGGGGGAAGGAAAGAAGAGGGATAGGGGAGACAAGAAAGGGAGGGAAAGAAAGGGGTGGGGGGAATATACACCAGCAAAGCAACAGAAGGAATTTCAAAAAGTCAAACGGAAGGAATTTCAAAAAGTAAAACGGAAGATTCACAGACAGTAGAGCAGCATAGGGTGACGTTACAGAGGAAGGCCACCACACAAAAACCACTAACCCCCAAGAATCACTGATTCACTAGGACTGCAGGAATGGGACTGTACCACTCCGGACTAGAGATAGAGCACAGAGAAGACAAAGGACAAAACAACTACATTAGCTTAGTATATACTGCATATAGAAACACACATTGAAACTGCAATGGGACTGACAGCCAAAGACACGTACACATTGTACACATTACAGTTCTCACATCTGTTATTAGATGCCTTAAACAGCTGCCAAAAATGAAGTGGAAGAAGAATTTATACTTGACAGTCATTTGGAGTGTTTGACACCACACTGATTTCTGGCAACAAAGACAAAATAGGATTATTTTTTTTCTTTTTCTTTTTTCTTTTTCTTTTTTTTTACTTAATGTGCAGTTTTCAGTTGCAGTTATCTGTCTCAAGCTTATTAACCCATTCTTTAGTTTTAAAACTTATTGGTTTCACCCAGAAATAAGAACCAAAGGAAAAGAAATTCCATCAAATCAAATCAGTCCCCCCCGGTACAACCTTCCTTTTTTTTTTTTTTTTTGCCTTTTTTTTGTTTGTTTTTTGTCTTTTTTTTTGTTGTTTATTGCCGAAATGAAAAAAAAAAAAAAAAAAAAAAAAAAACCAAAACCCAAAACCATGTTAAATAGTTTTCCTTCTTTTACTCCAAAGTGTTAATTGAAGTTGAAAAATTAGCCTCAGTTAGACTGAGTAAGAAGAAAAAAAGCTCAACAAAAGGCAATATGTACCTAAACTGCTCCTCAAATCAGTTTGATTGAGTTTTCCAAAAGCCCCTTTAAAAAGAGCTTTACTGACCCATTAAATTTAATGTGAGGCTATGTTTGTTAGTTGGGAGGTAAAACATTTTAAGTCCTGCAGCAAATGTTAATGAGGGCTTTGTCTTAACTAACCAAGGAAACTGCAGCAACGGACTCCAGACCAGGACAGAACACATTTTTCCCCCCCAAACCCAGCCCAGGAGCTGCATTTTGTATGAAGACATTACAGATTAATAAATGATAGCACCATGGTTTTAGAAATTAAGTTAATGTTTCAGTAATTAACATTTAGTCCAACTTTTTTTTAAAACATTCTAGTCACAGGCCAGAAATTAAGTTTAAGAACCCAAATTATTTTTATGTGCAAGTAAGAAAATCTTAAAATCTTAACCATAAAAAGAGAATTAAATTCTGCATAAAATTCTAAAATACTATTCCCCTATTTGTAAAGGAATTAGGAACAGAACCAAAAAAAATCACCCCATTTCATTTGACTTAGTCAAACAGGGCACATTGTTTATGCTTGTCTTTTTCCATCTTGATCATATCAAGATCTTTATGAAGAAAACCCAACGGTTGTCACTTGAGAAATCTCTTGACCACAAGACTGAGTATTCTATGGCAGAGGCCTATACACATTAAAGACATCTTAATAAAGATGCAAAGGAAAGCAAAAGAACCCAACACACATCTTAGAAGAAGACAAAATGGCAGGCAACTGGTCATCTGACCCTCTGAAGGCAAAAAATAAACATATCTTTACAAGAAAGAATAAGCCAAGTTAAAGAAAGAGGGGATGGGGTGGGGACCGTCGTGTTGAGAGAAGATGCTGACCTGCTCGAATTCAAAGTGCTAGAATTAAAGGTCTAAACGAAAACGCCAACGATGCCTCCGAGCGGACCCCTGCCCACACTGGGCAGCGCCTCAGTCCTCCTTGCGCTCCAGAGTCTGTGCCGCGTGGATGCCGTTGCTGTAGACGGGGAAGGGCAGCGTGGAGAAGAGTCCCTCGGCGGTGGTGAACACGTTGCCGGCGGGCATCTGCGTCAGGCTGGCCGCGCTCACCGCGCCGCCGAAGGGTCCCGACATGTTGAGCCGGTGCACGTGGTGGTAGAGCATCTCCATGGGCGTCTTGGGGTCGAGGCCGAAGCCGGGGCTGTTAACGTCCACGAAGTTAACAGCGTGCGCGTTGGGCAGCAGGTTGCCCTGCATGGCCAGGGTCACCTCGGCTGGTGCGTAGCGGATGGTGCCCGTGGTGTAGACCCTTTGCGCGGCCGTGCTGGTGGCGGCCAGGGTCCCGGTCACCCGGTGCACCAGCGGGAGCACGACGTTGCCTGCCTGCAACCTCTGCAGCGCCTCCAGGTCCCCAGTGTATAGCAAGGAGTTGGACGCGCTGGGGCCCGCGCTGCCCCCGCTGCCTCCGCCGCCACCCCCGGGGTGCTTGTCCCGTGGGGACGCAGAAAGTGGGGGCGACAGCGGGTCGGAGGCGACAGGGGCCAAGGCTGCTGTGGCCGAGGCGCTGAACTGAGTCTTGCGGGTGGCCGCACCGTCGGTGCCGGGCGGGGTGAGGACCGAGTCAGGGATGGCCACGTGCAGGCCACCACCACCCCCGCCGCCCTGCGGGGACGGAAAGTGCTCGGAGCTGGGGGGCTTGGTCATACTGTAGGGAGACTCATTCCTGGAGATCTCCCGGTTGGGCGGGTAGTTCCAGATGCTGCTGTCGTTGTCGAAGTTGATGGGTTCCGAGATCTCCGTCTTGATCTTGAGCACCGAGGCACTGTTGGGGGAGGACAGCAGCCGCGGGGGCTCCACCAGGCCCGCGTCCAGGCCGCCGGGGCTAGACGCGCTGGACAGGCGCCGACGGCTGGCGCTGCCGCCCTTCTGTCGTTTCCGCCGCTTCTTGCGCTTCTGGTGCTTGCTGGAGGCCTGCGCGCCCGCCTCCCCCGCGCTGTCCGAGGCGCTGTCGGACGTGAGCGACTCGCAGTTCTGCAGCCGCAGGTCCGACTCGCTCTCCACGTAGCGCTCCACCTTGATCTGCATCGGGCCCAGCGCGCCGAAGCCGTCCTCACCTGCCTTGGGGTTCTCAAAGTCCGAGTGTTCGAAGCTGTCGTCGCTGTCGCGGCTGTCTGGGTTGCTGGAGCTGTGGCCATCGTCGTTGCAGTTCATGTCGTTGTCGCACGCATTGCCTGACTTCTTCCGGTCCGGTTCTGGGTCTTCACTGTTCTCGGACTGATTCCCTTTCTCGTCAGACTTAGAGTTGTCATTGTCCTCTGTGTGGGGCCCGTGGCCGGAGTGGCAGGGGTGGAGACAGAGAGAGGAGAGAGACAACACCACGTTAGCAGGACAGAAGTAGCCTCTCACCTGCGGGGAGGTGGGGACAGCAAGGACATGTCTTGTGCTCACCACTAGCTTCTCCACCTTCTGGTGACTTACAGACTGGGCTTCCTCTCTGTCGAGGACCTAGGTCAGCTGGACGGCTATTCAAAATGCTGGCCATGGGACCAGCCCCGCTGGCATCACCTGGCACCTGTTACAAATGCAGCATCTCAGGCCCCTCTCAGACCTACACTCAGAGTCTACATGTGAACAACATCCCCAGGGGATTCTTAGGCACATCAAAGTTTGAGATGTCCTGCAAAGATACTCAGGAAGGCACTTAAATGACTTGGAATAAGATGTGGGTGGCACAGAGGAAGGATGGTATGTGAGGTGACTTTCTAAAGTCTGCACCTTCCACTGGTGAATGTTCATGATTGAAAACTGCACTCTATTTCTTGTTTTTCTCCATAGCACATACCACGTGACTATGTATCTTTTTTGTGTGTTTTTATTTACTTCTATCCCCCCTACTAAGTATAGGTCCATGAGGGCAAGTCTGTTTTGTTCACTGTTGTGCATTGTCTAAAGAAAGGGCACAGAAACAACCTATTCTTTATAAAGGTGGAAGACTTTGAAAGACACCTGATGTGTCTTGGAGTGTAACTGAGAGTCAGATGTCTGAGGATTCCCTGAAGCTGGGTCTGGCTGAGAGGGGTCTGTGTTTACGGTGCTGGAGATCAGACACCCTAACGATGGGAATGAGGTGGTGGTGGTGGTGGTGGGGAACCCTAGCCACCTGTCACATTTTAGGGACGGTAGACTTTCCCAGTAACACAACCTCAGAAGACTTAGGGATGATGGTGATTTTGTAGCTTTGCCTGATCACTTCTGAAAAGCAGCCTGGGGCAGAATGTTAGCAAATCATGTAGCTTCTCTGGTCTTCACTTCCCCTTCTGAAGCAGAAGAGGCTGCAATAGAAGAGGCTTAGGAATTTTTGCAGTTGTAAATCTTATTAGTTCTGTGCTCCCTGGTCCTATGTATATAGGGATCCTAGAGAAAATTTTTTAAAAGATTAACTTTTCTGTATCCCAAAAAACTACTCAAGAAATCAACTTCCCAAAATAAACAGAAATGGAAAAGCATGGCCTGGTTCATGCTTTCATAATTCGGAAAAACAACAACAACAACAACAACAAAAACTAACGGTCTCATGTCCCGAAAAGGGCATAAACTGATTTTCCCACTTTATTTTATTATATTATTTTTTAGAAGATAGGGTCTTGCTATGTTGCAATTCTCTTCCCTGAGCTTCCTGAATCACTGGGATAACAGGTGCATGCCTGGTCTCTAGGTTGGACTGGGACTTGAACCTGGGTCCCCCTTGTGATCCCAGCCTGTGGAGCAAGAGCATCTTAGCGGTATATGCCATCATGACTGAGGATCCTACTTTCCAGGCGGTCCCAGTTCAGTAAGGATGTGAATATTTAGGGCTCGAAGTCACAGACTGTCTTGGTGCCTGTAGAGTTCGCCTCACTACAGGCTTCCAGTTCAGAGGCCAGAACTGGCTAGGCATGGAGTAGGTCTCCTTTGGTGCAACCAGTGGAAGTCTGCACCAAGTGACTGCTAAGTTAGTCTCTCTTTCTGTATAATTATGTATATACATTTGTACACTGTAACGTACATAAGTCTATATTTATATAGGTATGTATGCTTACATATGTGCACATACATATATATGTGCACTACACGTGTGTATTTATATACACACACATGTATGTACATGAAAGAGGACTTCAAAAGTTAATGGAAAAATGAAATCCAAGTATGAGTTAATTTTGGTCCAAAAAATTTTTGCAGTTTTTCATAATATACATTTTCCATGGATTATTTTTTCTTTTTTGATAGCAAGCATGTGCGCCTGCACATGGGAGTGGGAGGGGAGAGAGAGAGAGAGAAAGAGAGAGAAGCATCTTCAGCAGGATCTCAAGCTGTGATCCCCTTCCCCTGCCCTCCAACTCTTCAGGACTTTCCCATGTGCATCTAACATGTCTTCGAGTCGGCTAGGAGGATCTGAGCCTGAGGCTGGCCCTGTATACAAGCTTTCTGAAGGCCCCTGTATATATATGTGGTGGTGTACAAACACACGTTCGTGTGTGTGGAGAGAGAGACTCGGTAATAACTTGCTGTGACATGTGTCTATGTAGAAAATCTGCCTTTGGTCGCTGCCCACCCCTTGAGTTTGGAAAGGCAAGTGGTAACTGCAGAATATGGAGAAGAGTAATACCTGTAATACCTGAGGTGTCTTTAGAGTCTGACTCAGAGTCAGATGTCTCCGAGGATTCGGATGTTTTCTCCGGCAGATGGGGCAGTTGAGCGATGTCCATTGGCGTGTCCTTGTACTCGGGATTACTGTGGGGAAGGAGGTATTTACTCATCAGGAATGTGGACACCCATCTGCATGGTTTGCTTTAGACCATCCTCCCCTACTGCCTTATCCCAAACTTCTGGAGTTTAGAAAGTTCAGAAAACTAACCATGAAATCATTTCTCAGCTCTTCACAGGATTTTACGGAAGCTTAGAGTTCATGTGCCAGGGGACAGGTGCACCCTGCTACAAGGACTGAATACCCAAATGCTACATGAAAGCCACAAAAAAGCTTTTAAATAATCATGTACCACTGGGGACTGGGGAGCTGTGCTGCTTGACATTCCTCCCAGGATAACACCTGGGGGAGGGGAGGATGAGAAGTACTCTCAAGGACTCATTCCCAGACCTCCCAGGGTGCCCCATCTTCTCTTGGGCTCCTAATGAGTCCATTGCTTCATTCCCTTGTCTTGGCCCCTTGATGTCGCTTCTCAGCTGTTCTGATGGCGCCAAAGTTACTGGTGGGGGGCAAAGCCCTCGGTGCCTAACGACTTGACAGATGCACAGGTGCACCTTGGGATGCATGGATTAGGGCTACTGAACTGTCAACACACCCATTACAATCACATTTTCCTCTGCTCATGTGGTGTACACCTGTGGCTTGTTAGCTGGAACTCTGATTGCAGTGGGGAGAGGCCCAGTGTGAGAGCCCCTAACAGAATGGATGGAACCCCATTTGCACAAACGTGCTTAATTTTAGTTCTACTTTTAATTCAGAAATATGCCTCTTCTAGACAAGAGAGCATGTCTGGTCATTTTGAGCTAGCTGTCTTCTGGAAATGCTACTCCAAGGCCAGCCTGATGAATGAGCAGTGTAGGCTACTATAATTTGAAGGCTCAGGAAAGTCTCCTCCTCAAAATAGGAAATACCTCTTCTATCCTTCTGTGATGGCCAATCAGGCAGATACTTAATGATGATTCTGACTCATTTGCTAATCTCTGGCAAAAGTCCTGTATTAAAAAAGTCACTGAATTAGTGACTACTCTAAAACTGCAAATGTCCTTGGGAGGGTTAATTCGCTAAGATGGATTATCAGGCATTTACTCCTTAGTATGAATTAGCTTCAGCAGTAAAACTTTCTCTAGATAATCATGAGACTAATGGCAGGGAGGTGTACTTAGCACATGTTTAGTCTGAATTTTCTAAGAATCTGTAATTCTAATAAGCACTGTGGAGGAATGGGAAGAATATTCTCTACAGGAGCAAATTTCAAAACAGGGAGGACTAGATTGGATGGGGCTCAGATACAAAGGATTCTGGGAAGGAAGAAGTGATATAAAAGCATTGCTCAGAGAAGAACAAAAGACAAGAAAACCAAACTTCAATTGTTGCTCTTTGGCCAAGACCACATGGTTTTTCTCTCTAGCCTACAGAAATGACAACAATGAGGGTCTTGCTTAGTAGTTCCTTCTGCTAATGCCCATCTACAATAGTCTCCTTTGCCCCAAATGCCATGGGGGTTCACAGGGCCCTTGTCTTTCCACTTTCACTTTTATTGTTGACCTTATCATGGATTTGTAGGTCAGCTGAAACAGGTCGACCACATCTGAGATTAAGGCTCTTGAACCTGAAGACTGGTTTTTGATGCACAAATAGCTTCTTTCCTATCCATATGGAATTCAACAGAACAGAATCACCAAATGTTCCTGAGCTTGTACAGTTCAGTCCTAGGCTAGATCAATGACGCTGATCCCAAAGTGCATAGGTCGACTTCTCCATTTGAGGGCAGAGGAAGGCATCATGAGGCTGATGAAGCAGTAAGAAAGATCCAGAAAGGAAAACATTGCATGTAACGGGATTAACAACCACACGGATGACTTCAGTGCCCTACATTATATCCACATGGGAGACAGACTTTTTTTAGCTTATGGTGTCTTTGTTACCAGTGTTTAATTTCTAATAGCAATGGGTCTCCTTGGCATGGCACCATTTTTGCCTAGTAAAATAATGTCAGTGCCCAATATTTTATTCTATTCTCTGGATATGAGTTTTTATAACCTTTTGCATCACATACAGTCATTGTTCCATAAAACTTGATGTAAAAGGATTCCTTGATACTAGAACCCATCTTAAGCATATCACGAACACAGGGGAGATAGTTCACATAAAATTCAAGCCTGGGAGAAAGCCACATTAAATACACATACTTTTACCTTTCGAGAGATTTAATGTAGAGCAGAAGAGGTCAAAAAAGGAAAAAGAAAAGTAGATAAATGAAGACTCTGTTAAGTGGTGCACATTAAGGCCCTCTCTAGAGCAATAATCATTAGTGTCTGATTGATATGCTGTTGGTAGCAAGCACATTCATGCCTCCAAGTCATCACCAAGGTACGTGAAGCACTCTGAAGGGCCAGTGTGCTGATGAGCCATGGTTGTTAGCAGCTCAGTTACATTTGGCTGTCTGAAAGAAGAATGGGGTTCAGGTACTCCCTGTCTAAATTATCAGCCAAAGGGCACCAACTTCCATTCATAAGACCTACTGGAAGTTTTCCTACTCAGACCACATGGGAAGTGCTTGGTGGCTTTAGGCTAAGAGAAGCCAACACCTGGCATAAAGGTGGTGGGAGGGAGCCAGGCTGAGGACTGTGAAAACTTCAAGACAAGAATGGTAGAGAACCTTCCAGAAAGCTTGTCCCCAAACTATGGTCACCCAGTCCATTGGTCTGGGTTACTTCTAGTTTGACCCCAAAGACAGAAAGTAAATGAGGAAGGAGAGAATTATACCAGAATTTAGGAAGCAGTTGGATTTGGATTCATTTATGGAAATATATTTCAGGACACATTTCATGACCAGTAGGACTTGTTTTAAGGTCACAGACCGGTTGGCAAAAAATGACTGCTTCCATTTTTACACTGAGTTTGTCTTGGTTCTGGCAAGGCAACTACTTTGTTTATCCAACTTTAATGCACAGGGAATCAGAACTTATATAATATAGTGAGGGTGTCAAAGGGTTGAAATATGAAGGGAATATAACGCACTCTGCTGCTTTCCTCCCATCCTCATTTTCAGAAGGAATGGAGTGTGTGAGGTGTGTGTGTACTAGGGATATGGAGGTGCTTTTCAAATGTTTCAGCTATAAGCAGAAGTTCTTTATTATTATCATTATTATTATTATTTGTTGTCCCAAGCACCTTCTGCAGAGCTCACAAATGTTGACAGATCAAGCATTCCTGAAAATGTTGTAAATCTTCCCTTCCAACAGTCTGATCTTCTCGCATTTCTTTGCATCTTATGGAAAGAGTAGAATTTCCATGTAATTCCACACTGTCAAAGGTAGTACTCACAACATGTCAGCTCTTAACCAAAGGGCTGCATATTTTATAACTGAGACTGAAATAAAAAAAAAAGAATTAGAAAATATACCTAAGAAGATAATTCACCCAGATGATATTCTTTTCATTTGCATTCTTGGCATTAATGGCTATGGTGGCGCTAGACTGTATCCAAATATATCCTCCATTCTTCTGCATCCAGCGATAGTACTTCGTCACACACTGACCTTTATTCAGCACTGGGGAAGAAACAAAACACATTAGGACTGAAACCAGGCGATGATCACCTCTGCAAAACCTCGAGCCTAACAATGGGAGGTCTGCACAAAGCCAGGGATGCTCCTCTATATGCCCGACACAGAGTGCCATTAGTAGGACAGATGACATCAACAATCCAGTGAAGCGGCAGCTCTGGAGCGAGGGTTGTTGGCATTTGTAGCTAGACTTTATTCCATTTTGGGCAGGCATGGTGTGAAAGGAAGAACAGAAGGACTACAAATCTTTTTGGCTCAAAGAACACCTAATGCAGTGTGGATGTTGTCAATGGGCTTGATGTCAGAGGGTAAGAAGGGCAAATTTGTATGTGATTTATTCATAACTTTGAGGTAGACCTCTTTCAGTTTTTGTATATTCGAATGCATCTGAAGATGCTTTTCTGGTCTGTCTTTGAGCATGTTTCCTCAGTTGCGAGCATCAATATCAACCAGCATCGTCTGTTCCTTCTGATCTTGTCTAACAGAATTTATAGTCCTTGGATGAACTAAATTTACATTGGTCAGTGAGGGGAAATTCTGGTGAGACTTTGCTGAAGATTGGAACAGAATAAATTCCCCGAGTCAGAGAGAAACACTGGCCTGTGAGAGGCATAGAATTAACGTGGCTAGAGCCAAACAGAGTGACAGCTCCACACAGATTCTGAAATATGGCCCAAAATGAAGGAACAAGTAAAAACAATCAGTAATGTGAAACGGAGCCATTAAATACCCACTGAAAGAGAGCTTTAAAATGCAGATGTTAAAAATGATACTTTAACCAAAATCTTGCCAAGTTGAAATTGATTTGATTTGTATCTGGGTACTCCTGAACTAGTAAAAGGGGAATGTGCAGTAAATCATCCCCTGAAATAAAGTGCTGTAGATGGGAATGGCTTAAAAGGATGCCGGAAATGTGCAAAACCTGCTGTTATTACTTGGACACGGATCGCAGTAATTCTGCACCCCCCCCCCAAAGCCACCAGCAAGCTGGCCACTAGAGGGCAGTGTGCACTCGTCTACGCCGCCCACTTTTGGCATGTCCTTGTCTCCGTCTGCTAAAATGAAAAACCTCTAACTGCTGTAATAAATTTGGCTAAATTAGCTGCTAAATGGTTATCTCAAGTAATATGTATTTGCATTAATCATCTTGCTCTAAACCAGAACAAGCCAGAGTCCTAAAGACGTAGTAAATTCATATTGTCCATTTAATTACGGCTAATAAGTGCTTCATATACAATAGTTTCATGAAGTACATTTTGATTTTTTTTTTGGATGGGGAGGGGGAAGTGGATACATAAAGGGAAGTCACTTTGGAAAAGAGCTGTGTTTAAGGCCATTGAAGCTTTTCTGATTGTGTTGTGAGCTACTCTTTCTGGCTCTGAAAGTGATCAAAAGTCAAACCTCTGCCTACTATATCCATAAACTTATACATTTCAACACTTTTCTCCATTCTGCCTATTGTCTCACAATACACTAACTGGGTAGTGAGTACATTTAATAATTATGTCTTAAGTGTTGCATAAAAATGGCTCACTTTGCCAAGTGTTTCAAATTGTGGCAAGTTCCGTTCTGCAACTATTCAACGCTTAGGGTATTTTGAAGGCCCGGAACTGTCATCCTCTCTGGGTGGTGAGGCTCCACAGGTGACATTGTACTTTCTTTTGTGGACAATTGTAAGTTCTGCCATTCTGCATGCATGGCTTCCCAAGCTACAAAACCGGGTGGTGAGGCTGAAAGCAGTAAAATACTAACTCCGCCACACAGTACTTCTGTCAGACCACTGTTGCATGCAACAAGATGTGCTTTTATTCAGATCCTCTCAGCCTGGTTAACTCTTAATGACGGAATGGTGGGTTATGCAATTCTGTCCACTATTTTTTCAGAGAAAATGTATACCACCCCAATCGGTGGTTTGTACTATAATTCTGTCTGCTGCATATCTGGACTAGTGAGTTAATTTCAAACAGTCAAAGTATTTTTAACAAAGGCAAGGGGCCTAAAAATCCCCTCTTTAGAATCACACTGAAGAGAGGCATTGAGATGGCAGGCCAAGCCAGACCAGCCCGGCCAGCCTGGGGACTCTGGATGGAATTTGATCAAAAGCAGGCAAAATTTAACTAACTAACTATCCCCAGAATACAGAGTATAGAAAGAGGAAAGGAATTATAAAACAGGAACTTTCAGAATCCAACATAAAGATCACTTTCGTCCCCTTCCCAATAATACTTAAACAAAACCCCAATTCTGAGATGGATAGCCAGCACAACATCGGCCTCCCTGGTGGTGTCAAGTGTGTGTAGTGAAGGGGGCAGGAAGACTTATTTGTTAAATGACTGATCCAGTGTCATCTTTTTGAGTTAAGCCAGGATGACTCTGGGTCCGCTTAAATGTATCTGCATTTCCTAAGAAGATATATACTAACTTATTAGGGCCTCTGAATACTTTAATATAGCTTTTCTTTATTACCCAGGACAGAGGCCTTCTAGCAAAGAGAGAGACCTAGATGAAAGAGAAGCAGGGCAGGAAGGTTTTGATGTAAGGAGTGTGGCTGTAAAAGAATCAAAGAAGAAGGCAATCCCTTTGGGATTCCTTGGGGCATCAGGGAGCTACTTCACTTACTCTGGAGAATTCCACACAGTGGCAGGTGGCAGGTTCGGGAACCCACAACAGTGGGCTGCAGAAGATGGGTTTGACTGCCCCTAGCTCTTCCCTGGAGCCATCTGACACACAGAGGCTTTAAAGGGTAAGCACCTGAGTGTGACCTTCCATAAGACTCTTTCCTGGGGATTAGTATTTTCTGAATGAGACCCCCACAAGTGAGTGGGAATCTAGATAACTAAAGATGTGCCACAAAGTTAACACCTACTGAATGATAAAATGTTGACCAAAGTATTTCCCACGTTGCTTTTTAGAAAAAGGCCTATGAAGGAGTTACAAGGGAGATTTGCTTTTCCAAAGGTGAACAAGGAATAATTTTTGCTTGGGGTTCCAGAATATAAATTTATAACTTTGGGATGAAGCTACTTTCTTGAGAAAAAAAAAATCATACTGGCAAATCAGCTGGATCATTCCAGCTGTGCTAGAGGCAGGATCTGACAGCTTTTCCTGAGCTCATGTGGTCCTAATCAGCTCAAGAAGAAAAGCCACCTTGGTGCCAGTTTGAAAGAGATTTTTAGTGTGTAATAAATTAGAGAACTTGAAAAACATAGAAAAACTTTTTTGATTCTCTTTAATCCAGTAGCTGTCGTTTTTATTTTCAAGCTTTACATTTAGGTAGTAGAAAGAAATTAGGGAATATTTCTATCACCGGTGTCATAAAATTCCTTCTGTAGGGCAAAACAAAAATGAGTACAATGTAAGTTACTTGATATGGAAGTCCTTAAAAAATAGTCAATAGACTCTTCAAAAGACATAGGTGGTCATCAAACTAATGAGCCTAGGAGCATGTTTATATCTACAAACTATAAATGGAAGGAAACAGAGGGAAAGGAAATTTCTGTGGATCGTAATTTAATATCACATCCATGTGATATGGTCTGAGTACTTCTGGCATATAATCTGACATCTTCTCTTTGGTTTATTCCAAAGTTTACTTGCTGCTGTCTAAAATTGTGGGGTATACTAGTCTGTATTTCTCATTGAATTCACTGATCACATAACATCTCTAGAATTCCATCTTTAAAGTTGTGCTAAAGGAATTCATTTTTACTTAAGGCTTTCAAACTTTTAAATGGCTTCTTCTCAGGTTTTATAAAGTAAACGTGAAGGCATAAGGAGGACGAATACCTTTACAAAAGGTCACTTAGAATCCTCAGTGGTACCAGACGAACTGTGAATGCCTCTGCCTCCACACAGGAACGTGTTCCTAATAGTCCTCTCAAGCCTATGCTGTGACCCATCGCTTTTGGCTGCTCTTGCTTGAAGGGAAACCAAGAAGCTGTCATCAGCATCACCTCACCCTCCAAGCTGAAGGTGCTTTAGAGTCACACACTCTACTCTTCAGAAGACAGAGGCCACCTCCCACTTGTGAGAAGAATACAGGAGAGACAGATTTAAATCCTCCTGGTTGAACTGTTCCAGCTCTGTTCACAATTAGAAAACCACTAGTAAGTGTCCCTTTGGCAATTATGAATAAAACACCGGGACCAGCAGATAGCATAATGGTTATGTGGCTGGACTCCCACGTAGTAGACTGCTGTTGAGTCCTGGACCCAGCGGCTTAAAACTCATGCCAGGCACCTGTGCGTTCGTGCGTGCCCAAGATCCTCTTTTTTTTGGAGAGGTTTTTGCTATAGGACGTGTGTGCTCACAAGAAAGACAGAGAAAGGCAGAGAGACAGAAAGCGAGAAATCACATGGCCCCAGGGAAGATGGCCATGCCACAATCCCTTCTCTTCCATTCTCCTCTCGGGATCTTGGGCACTCACACACATGCGCCTGGCGTGAGTTTTAGCCACCGGGTCTGGGACTCGAACTGCGGTCGAGTACATGGGAGTCCAGCTACATAGCCATTACGCTAACTGCTGGTCTCCCTGCCCAAGATCCTGAGAGGAGAAAGGATTGTGGTGTGGCCATCTTCTCTGGAAGGGGAGAGGGTGATTTCTTGCTTTTTGTCTCTGTCTCTCTGGTGAGCGTACATGCCCTGTAGCAAAACTCTCTCTCTGACAACAAACAAACAAAAAAAGTCAAACATCATCCACCCCACCTGTGAAAGGAGCTGCAAATACAGTTCAACCCAAAGAAAATTGCAGAGCACTTAACATTTCAAAATTTGCATCCTTTTATATCAAATACACATTTCCTCCCAGTCCCTCCAAAAGACTAGATGCTAAGTTTTATTGAGCATCTTTTAAAAGTGTTGCCCCATCTCTTGGTTTGAGCTTAGTGGTCGGCATATAAGAAATGTGCTGCTTGAAGAGAATAATTATTCTTCCTCCAAGTGTGCTGAGCGTTTTTGCTGAAGCACACATCCACCGCCCTGTACAC